ATATAACCATTAAAGCTTGCAACTGAATTACATTAGACAATAAAAGCCACGTAGTTTATGTATGTACAGATGATAGAGATGGCCATATAGTGTGTGTGTGTGTGTGTGTGTGTGTGTGTGTGTGTGTATGTATGTATGTATGTATATATGTATATGGAGAGAGGGAGAGAGATCATTTTACATATAGTCTGTGTGTATTTATACCAGCCATTTTGTGAAGTGACCATCTTAACTAAACCTAAATTTACCTGTCCGTTGTCTCTCAAGTTTGGGTAGGTTTTTTCTTTCTGTTTTAGATGGATCCTGTTCAAGAAATCCTTGCAGGTGTTTGTATGGCGATGAGGGAGCACGGCATCGCCTGCCTGCAGGAGCGGATGGCATCCACTGGGCCTTCTACTGGGCCCGCAGTGGTTCCAGAGGGACGGCCCGCACAGAGGACGACTCTTCCCCAATGATTGAGACCCGGTTTGGTGCCGGCACAGAGGAGGAGCCCATCTCCAGGAGCTGCTCCTGCGGCAGACGTTTACAGAGCAGGCTGCGTGGTCGGGTGGCGGCCAGCCGTGAGAGAGCTGGGCCTGAGTTGTCGGCCGCGGAGGCCCCTGGCAGACGGTATATGTAAAGCGGCGTTGCTGGAGTCGGTTGGGGACGGGAGGCAGCACGTCTGCATCTCCCAGGTCAGGCTGCGCCCTGGCGGCTGGTAGGAAAGGTCGGGTGCTGAGTACAGCGGGCTCCAGTGTGTGGGAGTGCCACCAGGTCTGTGACCGGTCATAGGATTAAGCTATCAGAAAACACCTATGCTAATCTCTCGTTTTCATCTTTCAAGTAAATACATACCCACTAACAGCAGTGTCCAGTGAAGCAGGAATTCGGTGGGTGGTGTATAAGGGTGAGCCACTGATGTGAATCATGTAACCAGAACCGCCTAAAGGGACAAACATGCCCAAAAAGGTTACCATCTGCTGAGAATGTCGAGCAGATGTTGACCTGGTGACAATCCACTGGCTAAATTGCCGAAGACACTGAATCTTTTTCGTCATGGGTTTTGTTAAAATCCCAACGCTTTTATCCAGTGTCATCGATATTTTGCATCTCTAATAGAAAGTAACATGAGTTGTGAACAGTCTTTTAAAAGATAATATGAGTCCCAAATGTGGCCCCAAACCCAGCCAGAAATGATTATTCAATTTAATATAATGCTGGAGAACATTGCTTGCTACATATTTGAAGTTCTTTAAAACATTATTTGGGGAATACAACATTTGTAGACAGGCAAAGACCCATACATATTGTTTTCCCATTAAACTGAAAAAAAAATGCTAACATGATTCTGGAAATATTCTGGCAGAGAGTGAGGATAATTATGGTTGAATTTAAAACACTGCCAATCAGTGATAGTAAGATGTTTTTAATTTGTATACAATGTCCTTAATACTCTTAATTTTTCCTTATGGGTGGCAAAAAATGTATTAGAAAATATCCAATAATGCGGTATGTGTGTATGTATATTGTTGGATACTTTCTAATACAATATTAAAAGATATACAGTATCTCACAAAAGTAAGTACGCATTTTTCTAAATATTTTATTGTATCTTTTCATGTGACAACACTGAAGAAATGACACTCTGCTACAATGTAAAGTAGTAAGTGTACAGCCTGTATAACAGACTTTCAGATTTTGCAGTTAGCAAATAAAACAGCATTTGAAATAGCTTGTTAAAGTATATATATAAAATAAGTGTATACTAAAACGCATTAAATTCCATCTATTAATTTTTCAAGCAGAAATGCATGCAAATGTATAAATTTTAATTAAAAGTTCTTTAAAAATACGGTCCCTCCTCTGCCTGTCATTGAAATCCTCAATGTTAGGCCTGCGTGCCAGCTATTGATAATGCCATATGCCAGTTTGTGGATTAAAGTGTGAATTGTTAGGAATTCAAAGTAGAGAAGCACAGATATTCCTCAGGGAATGTGGGTTACATAAGGAGCACGCTGTCGCTGTGTTACTACCCCAGCAGCAGGTGCTTGCTGCTGGAGTATGGGACACCGGTGAGCTGGTAGAAATGTCAGCATGCTTGCGTCAGCCAAGTGACCCCAACCAGGGTCAATCACTTCACACTCACACACAGTCAAACCCCATATGCAATCACATTCAGCCAGCCACACACAATCAAACTACACCAGCTCCACACACACATACATACCACACTAAGCCAACCAACACAATAACACTTGGCCCAACACAGAATCATACTCACCTGCCAACACCTGCACACTCACACTCAACCACCAACACAACCATTACAAGTTACGCCACTGCAGTATACCACTATCAGTGTAAGACTAGCATGAATTCATATATTTTAGTTAAATGTGCTAGGGAATATGTTATAGAAAGTGAATGACAGTAATGTGTTGTGAAAAACTGCAGATAATTATATATTAATTAGCTAACACAAGGTTTTGGCAAATAAATCACGACTAACTACTATCAAAACACCTTTTTAAATAATTTGATAGCTACAATTTTATAGCAGATGCTTATTTTGTGTTTTTCTTATCATTTTAGATTAGAATTTGTTAATTAAGAATTATTCAGCTCTCTTCCAATAAACTTATGGTAGAGCCAAACAGCTGTAGGGTTGCTTAGGGGACATGGCCATAAAGTCAGTATTTTGCAAATAAGCTACTTAAGAAGGATCTGTTCACCTCTGGGATTTTAACGTATTACTGATACCTTTTTAATTAAATAGTGTAATAGTTTTGCCATTATTGCAGTTATTCATTAGGAATGTTGTTGTCTCTGTAAACCTCCATCTTATGCCCTTGTACCCTTCTAGTCAGTGGTGTAGCGTGGGGGGCTACAGGGGTGGTTGCCCTGGGCGCAAAATTGTTGGTGGTGGAAAACTGCACAAAAAAAAGAGTAGTAATAATAAAATAATAGTAATAAAAAAATAGAGTGCCCTCCCCCTCACCCAGATAATCTCCCAATGTTCAAACATTCTACCTAGTTTTTCAACATGACGGGAAAATAAACATTGCCATATAACATTTTACATCTTTTTTTCTTGCAAATTACAGTTATGATGTAATCCTTACTGGTGAATTACATAATGCCTATTGTGTGATTTCCCTTACCTTCAAACTGGAAGCGATGCTATTGATAGGCATTATGTAAGTGCCTATCAATTGGTATCATACCGGTACACCAGTAACAGGCACCTAGATAGCCTCGCTCTTTCTACCTTACCCGTGTTGTTTCCATGATGTGTGTAACACTGATAGTTGCCTTGCCTAATTTTTAAAATCCACCTCACATCTAAAGTAATGTGTATAGACGTGGATTTTAAAAATTATGAAACACAACTATCAGTGTCACACACATTATGGAGACTAGGTGGGTAAGAAAGAAGGAGCAAAGCTATCTAGGTACCTGCTAATGGTACACGGGTCAGGAGGCACAATACTTGCCTTACCCCGAGTGCTGACAACCCAAGCTTTGCCATTGTTTCTAGTTCATTACAAACACCTTCACATTCAATATATACCTTGGCATACCAACCAACAGTTCAAATTGAGAAGGAGGGACATTTTTAAGAGTTTTGAGGGTGTAAGTGGTGGTGTGACCAAAGGTGGGTCTGTTCTGAGACATTTTAGGTGACTTACTGATAACAGTTCACCAACTAAAATGTAATTTAGAACAAGAACAATGTATCTTATTTACAGAGAGTGATTTCTGAACACATTTAGTGTAGATTAAAGACACATTGCTGAGTATTATTGCTGTGAAACTATGTACACTTATACACTTAGACACTTTAACAATACTGAGCGCCTAGAAAATATGGACAGGGGGATTTGGATTCTTGGTAAATTTACCTTGGGTTCTATTATTTTCAAACTATGTGCTAGCTTAACTAGATTACAGAAATTCTTTAGGAACCATTTTACTTCTGAAAACCCCTACCCTGTGGCTTCTTCTAATAATATGATCCTAATAGTTTAGCCACCAATCCCAAAATCATTTTCTTTTTAATAATTTTCCTGCCTAAATTTGTAGGGCTTATCAATGCACTAAAGAGGTTAATTTAAATTAAAATAGTTAAGTATTCAAACGATTATACAGGAGGCTCCCATGAAGATGAGCATTCAGGAAAGTGACAAGTCAACTCCAAAACTCAAACCTACATCATAAATGGTGATGACGCTGGTATTATAAGTTCTGAAACTCTACCTATCACGTGATCTGCAAATCAGATTTTATTTACTCTAGACTCAGTACTAGAAAAAAAAAAAATGTGGTATTTCTGTTACATATACATGTTTTCTTCCTGTAAGAGTAATCGCCCTCTCTCACCCTTTATAATGAAGAGAGGGAGACAGAAACATAGAATGTGACGGCAGATAAGAACCATTCGGCCCATCTAGTCTGCCCAATTTTCTAAATACTTTCATTAGTCCCTGGCCTTATCTTATAGTTAGGATAGCCTTATGCCTATCCCACGCATGCTTAAACTCCTTTACTGTCTTAACCTCTATCACTTCAGCTGGAATGCTATTCCATGCATCCACAACCCTCTCAGTAAAGTAATACTTCCTGATTTTATTTTTAAACCTTTCCCCCTCTAATTTAAGACTGTCCTCTTGTTGTGGTTGTTTGTCTTCTTTTAAATATAGTCTGCTCCTTTACTGCGTTGATTCCCTTTATGTATTTAAATGTTTCTATCATATCCCCCCTGTCTCGTCTTTCCTCAAAACAATTCCTGGTAAGTTTTATCCTTTAATCCATGATCCAGTTTAGTAGCCCTTCTCTGAACTTTCTCTCTAAAGTATCAATATCCTTCTGAAGATACGGTCTCCAGTATTGTGTACAATACTCCAAGTGAGGTCTCACCAGTGTTCTGTACAATGGCATGAGCACTTCCCTCTTTCTACTGCTAATACCTCTCCCTATACAACCAAGCATTCTGCTAGCATTTCCTGCTGCTCTATTACATTGTCTGCCTACCTTTAAGTCATCAGAAATAATCACCCCTAAATCCCTTTCCTCATATGTTGAGGTTAGGACTCTATCAAATATTCTGTACTCTGCCCTTGGGTTTTTACGTCCAAGATGCATTATCTTGCACTTATCCACATTAAATGTCAGTTGCCACAATTCTGACCATTTTTCTAGTTTACCTAAATTATTTGCCATTTGGTTTATCCCTCCTGGAACATCAACCCTGTTACATATCTTAGTATCATCAGCAAAAAGACATACCTTACCATCAAGACCTTCTTCAATATCACTAATAAAAATATTAAAGAGAATGGGTCCAAGTACAGATCCCTGAGGTGCCCCACTGGTGACAAAAGAATATACTCTATTGACTACAACCCTCTGTTGCCTGTCACTCAACCACTGCCTTACCCATTCAACAATATTGGAAACCAAACTTAAAGATTGCAGTTTATTGATAAGCCTTCTATGTGCAACAGTGTCAAAAGCCTTACTGAAATCTAGGTAAGCAATGTCTACTGCACCACCCTGATCTATTATTTTAGTTACAGAATCAAAAAAATCAATAAGATTAGTTTGGCATGATCTCCCTGAAGTAAACCCATGTTGTTGCTGATCTTGAAATCCATGTGTTTTTAGATGTTCAACAATCCAATCCTTTAACATGGTTTCCATTACTTTCCCCACTACTGAAGTAAGGCTTACTGGCCTATAGTTGCCCGACTCCTCCCTACTACCTTTCTTGTGAATGGGCACAACATTCGCTAACTTCCAATCTTCTGGGACTACTCCTGTTAACAATGATTGGTAAAATAAATCTGTTAATGGTTTTGCTAGTACAGCACTAAGCTCTTTTTTAATAACTTTGGGTGTATTCCATCAGGCCCCACCGACTTATTTGTCTTTACTTTTGACAGTTGAAATAGAACATCGTCCTCTGTAAACTCACATGTAACATGACTCATTTGTCATTTTTCCTAACTGAGGACCCTTTCCTTCATTTTCATCTGGAAAATAGTATCCAATAAAATTCAATGTAACCTTCTGGACCAGCATATATTGAGCCTTGATGTCAAATAATTGCTGGGGGGAAAAGAAAACACCCAAGAAGTGGCAATATTAAAATCTTTTTTATATATTCTATTTTATAAAATATATATGTATAAATCTTGGAGGAACACTATAGGGTCAGGAACACAAACATGTATTCCTGACCCTATAGTGAAAAACCCGCTATTAAGGTGACTTCCCCCCTCCCCTTTTCCCCCCTTAAAAGCATGATTATGTCCAGCGCCGTGTGGGTCAGCCTTGTCAATAATATCATAATCAGACTTGCCAATCCAATGCTTTCCCATCGGCTAAAATCAGCAAGGGGCGGGGCCAAACACTGTTGAAAAAACGCATCTCTATGAGGAAAATGCAGAGTCCCCATGCAGAGTATGGAGGCGCTGATTGGCAGAGCTGCCTACTGTGCAGCACTGAGCCAGGAAGCCCCTCAAGTCGCCATCTGAGGAGTGGCCACTTGAAGGTGACCCTAGGGGCAATGTAAACACTGCCTTTTCTGCTTATACTCACCAGAACAACTACATTCAACTGTAATTGTTCTGGTGATTATAGTGACCCTTTAATAAAAATATGTAAATATCAAGTGTACCTCTTATTTTTCTTTTTTTTTTTCCTATAATTTCTGTATCCAAGTGCTTTAATTTAAAATGAATTAATCGTTTGTTTGGTCTTAGTTTGACACCAGGTACTAAATTACCAACCAGCCCCAGCTAGCTACTATGTAAATACTTTCACTTGTGTTTTTATAAATTGTTCTACAGTTTCAGGAGAATTAATCCATGTTGTCCAGGCAAATAACAGGCCATCACACAGTCTGGTAATACCTTTTTTAATGGACTAACAGATACCCATTTTAGAATATGTTCTATAATCGAGAGTGTAGCAGACTTGGTCCTATGTCTGTTCAGTTTCCTGTACTCCCCTGTTCATTTCCCAAATGAGTGTCCCCCCCATTTGTTTGTCGAACACTCTATGTTCCCCTGGCTCTATACCTTCTCTCTCCTGAATGACATCTAAATTTTCTCCCTGGGTGGCTGCCATTCGTATCACCGAAAACACGTGGCCTGATAGATGGTGGCCATTTTGTCTCCCTAACGCTGACAGCGGTACTTAGTCATTGACTGAATGGAACTAAATTTGGCCACTTGACCACGCGGTTCCCTGTCTATTTGTTCCCTTGTTTTGCCTCACTTGACAGGAGAGCGCTAATTGGATGGAAGGTACTATGGACTGTGTGAAATAATCGCTCCCTAAGAGCAAGGAGGAGCACCCATTTCTTCCATCACAGGAACTCCCAATAGCTGACCGGCCAAAACCATTTTTTATCTTGAAACTATTTTGGGCTTTCCCCATGTGTGTGGCTGGTCAGAACTTTACCCCAGTGGCAATTCTCCTACACAGCATGGATCTGCTATTCGGATAACATTTGTGCTCAGATCAGGGCTATTTGGGGATATAGGTCATGTTGGGTTCCTGTATGTTTTGGGGTACTTTAATGTTTTTTATGTTTGGCTCTCTGTATCTGGGAGATAATTAACTTACCAGTGCTTGACTCAATTATCTCTCAGTCACAGAGACGCCTGGGCAGGTTTACAATGTAACTGTATGGAGACCCCATGCTGGGGATCTGGCTTTAAAAGACCTTGTCTCAGAATAAAAATGGGTTAAACTCTCAGAACTGTGTGTCATCCAGTTACTGGGAGGGGAAAGAACTATTGACTAGTCAGCACCTTGTTCCAGTTTGGGAAGTATTCAGCGAAGAAAGTCCTTTTAAGGACAAGGGCTCCGCTACAGAGAGTATTGTAGGTGATCGGTTGATATAAAAAGTGTGACTTTAAAGTAAAAATCAAAACTTTCATGGCTTTTTCTCACAGAGCTCTATCATTGAAGTAGTCCTTGATTGAAAGCAGCTCTCACACGACCAAAGATTACTCTGCTAAGAGAGCTAACTGGTCTTCCAGTGATGATCGCTGATTACAATGTGAACAGACTTGAAAGTCAGAGCGGTCTTTGGTCAGGTAACTGATGATCCCTAACGGCAGAGTGTTTTTGTGTACAGAAAGGACTCCCTTTAAGATCGAGGGAGTGTCCCTTTAAGATCGAGATTAGAACAGGTGATTAGCAAAAACACGGAAAAGCTAATATCAAAAGACAGTCCTAGTCTGTTGCAAATTTATAGCAAGAATTACATTTATATAAAAAGTAAGTTACAAAACGTTTTAGAAAAGTTAGGACAGCATCAAATATCACCAAACAAGTATAGCATTCAATCTATCAATTATATTGAATATGTCATTAAATCTGAAATAAATATTTATGCAGTTCAATACTCTGCTGGAGGGATCGCGGGCAGGTGAATTGTTTACATTTGTCTGGTGGAAGAGCCCCAAAGTCAGCAGGTTTGGCATAAAATAACTGCTTTTATGAGAACTGTGTGTGTTCTAATTATTCTTTGTTACATTTGCTAGTAAAGACAGTTCCATCTGTGTATATACAAGCTAGATAATAAAATGTTTGTGTTCGGTAACTAAACATTGCATTAATATCCCCGAGCATAAACGTGATTAATAAAGAATTGTGGAAAATTGCCAAACTGGAGAAATAACGTAATAATCTGAAAAACATGGTGCAGGTGTTTGTAATCTTTTGGATTAGAAAATGTATAAAGCGAACGGTAAAAATTAGCTCTTAGAAATTAAAATAAAGCATTTGAGAAATACAAACTTCTAGTATATAAATGAAACATTTACAACACCATTCCTCAAAAGGTTCTCCATTAACCTTTCCATCCCGACCCCATAAATATATAGACTAACTTCTTTTTACATTACAAAACAACAGAAAATGTATTTTAAGCCTGAAAGATCCACTTTCCTTCCCTTTGACTCTGCAATGATTTATCTCCAGCAAAGAAAACACATTTTTTTTTTTTGGCGGAGGGAGGTTATGGCAGTGCTCCTTTCTACTTTTCTGCATCTCTGCGGAGAAACTGTAAATACTGCCTTCAAATCTCCTCACTAAGGCCTCGATTTAAATGTTTATCAGCTCCTGAAAAGAAATGTAATGGCTTGGGTCAAATACATTATCTCCAGAGTTGATCGAACCCGAACTGAACATTAAGTTTTTTGGACCCTGGACCCGAACACGGACATATCACTGTATGTTCGGGCTGGAGTTCGGTGTTCTGCGATTTAATGACGCGTTTTGAAAGGCTGCAGGGCAGCCAATCAACAAGCGTTTGACTCGTGTGCCCTTAGAAGCCATCACAGCCATGCCTACTAATGGCATGGTTGTGATTGGCCAGTGCAGCATGTGACCCAGCTAGTAGGGGCATGTCTAATTTTTTTTTTTAAAATTCCCCCCTCCTGAGTCACCACCCGCGACGCGCGAGTGGGGGCTTTTAAACTAAAGAGGGGACCTATTGCCCCCCCCGGCCCTCACCCCTGAGCGGTGGGTGGGGGCCATAAATATAAATGGGGGGGACCTAATATCAATAAGGGACCAACTGTCCTCCCCCCACTCGGACCCCAATTCTGAGCGGTAGGTGGGGGCCTTAAATAACAATGGGGGGGACCTATTGTCCTCCCCCCGGCCCCCACCCACCACAAATAAAAATTGGGGGGTGGACCTAATGTCCTCCCCCAGGCCCCCACTCCTGCGCGGTGGGTGGGGGCCCTAAATAACAATAACGGGGACCTAATGTCCTCCCCCGGCCCCCACCCCTGTGCGGTGGGTGGGGGCCCTAAATCACAATAATGGGGGGGGGAGACCTACTGTCCTCCCCCCGGCCCCCCTGAGCGGTGGGTGGGGGCCATAAATAAAAATTGGGGGTGGGACCTAATGTTCTCCCGCCCGGCCCTCACCCCTGGCAATAGGTCCCCTCTTTAGTTTAAAAGCCCAGAAGGGGGGAATAATTTTTTTTTAATTAGACATGCCCCTACTAGCTGGGTCACACGCTGAACTGGCCAATCACAACCATGCCATTAGGTCCACCCCCAATTTTTGTTTATGGCCCCCACCCAGCGCTCAGGGGTGGGAGCTGGGGGGGGAGGACAGTAGGTCCCCCCACCACCCGTCGCACAGGAGTGGGGGCAATAGTTTTTTTGTTTGTTTTTTTACTAGACACGCGGCAAAGCGAGTAGGGGCTGAATTTACTAATACTAAGTAATCTTTACTTAGTATTAGTAAATTTGGCTGAAAGACCAATTTAGGTCT